TCAGCAGGTCTGCGCTGCCTGCACTATATGACAAATGCCGTGGGGAAGTTGAGAGAGATGTGGCTTCAGCTGACTACTTTGCTACCACAACAGACCTATGGTCTAGCCCAAGGGTGCCCAACCAGTCGATCGCGAGATGTGTCTACAAATAGAACAACAATATTCTGTTTTATCGTTAATGTCCTGTAACATAATCTTCCTGTGCCAGAATAATGCACTTGAACCCAAAAAGCTTTGTGATTGGCCGGCGTCACCCCATGTGTCGGGGCGTGGCTGAGGGTCTTCAGTACAGGTGGCAATATCGTCACCTGCCTGCGCTCATCTCTGAAACCAGACCATGTAAACAACCTGGTGCTTCTTGCAAAAAATCTTTAAGAGATGACATGAGCAGTCCTACCAGCATTTGCCATGGTGGCCTAATTTTTTTTAATTTGGTCTTAAATTGTAGTTCAACATTTATTTCCTGTTACTTCTGGACCATGACGGTTGGCCAGCCTGAGTGGAATATGTTGAATATGTTTTACCAACATGTTGGCTATATGTTAAGGAGTTTTCAGTAGGTTGTGACAGTGCACTGCATCATATTTGATTTAATTTATTTTGGACCAATTTATTTATCATATTAATAATATATGTTTAGTATGGTTTTGGAAGTGCGCTCCAACATATTTGTTCTTGTTTATTGGTAAAATATTATTTGTTTTAAAGTTCAATGAATAATCGTCAAAATAATCGTGATATCGATTATTGACCCAAATAATCGTGATTATGATTTTTGCCATAATCGCACAGCCCTACCTCTAGGTGTGCCTGCATGAACGAGGTTTCCCTGCGTGTAGGAGGGCTTCTCACCTGAGGAGTTGTCAGAGTGGTGGTGTTTCCCATGGTGTCCTCCATCTGAGCCGTCTGCACGTCCAGAGTTTCAAACTGGTTTTCAAACTTGTCCATTAAAGCAGAGATCTATAGAGAAACATAGATACTGAACAACAGTCCAGAAATGGTCATATTTGTTTCCCTTTGTCATGTGAAATGTTTTACCTTCTCCAAGTTCATGCTTTTGAGTGTAGCATCCATAGACTTGACCACTCCAGACATGGATTTAGACACCTGGGCAGAAACACATCACATTGAGTATTAAAGCCTCTGTGGTCTTCTTACTGGTCTAATTTGTCTCATTAAAAACAGGATCAGTATTTGAGGTCGCTCAGGGAGAAGGATTTAATGGGACAAAGCTTGAAGTGCTGTTACCCTGTATTTCCACTAGGTGTCACTTTAAGCTCTTTAAACAGATAATTTGTTATGACTAACTCTCATCCTTGATATTTCAAAGATGATGCTGATTAATCTTGTCAAAACCAATTTACCAATAGTTGATATTATGGTGGAGGGGTTTTTCATCAGTGCTATTGTGTTCATGTGTTATGAGACGTACATTACAGCAACATAAAGAGGTGTTTTTCAGCTATACCATCTCGCAGGCTGCCTCCAATTCTATAGACGCCATTAGGTTATATTCTGTGAAATGATGCCTGCCCTGTAGTGAACCTGAATGAAAGCCATTTAAAGAGGCAGGTCAATCTCATACGGGCAAGAAGGTAATAGCCTCAGTCTGCAGCAGAGCTAATGACATTATGTAATTGGTGGCTTTTTGTTTGCATGTCTGCCAGACCCTTTTTCTCCTTCTTCCTCTCCCTGTTTCTTTTGTGTAGAATCCTATAATGAGTAAATGCCTACTTTCTGACTTTTTACCCTGTAATGGTTACATTATGAAGCTCTTAATTATGATGTATAATTCAACATATCAACTTTGAATACGATATATTTTGAAGGTTGAAGAGAGAGACACTTTGGGATTTTAGCCTTTGCAGACCATTTACATGCATAAAAACCTATATGACACTACAGGAAAGGGAAAAAAGGGTATTAGCATCTAAATATATTTAAAAAGTGAACGTAATCATGTGTAAAATGACATGTTTCACAATCATATAAATGATGTTATTGTATTATAAATAAATAAGCAATGATTTGTCTATCCCTTTCATGTTGCAGCTAGTAAAAGTGAAGCTCATTCTAAGAACTTCATTTATCGCTGGGTAGTTTAACCTATAGTAATATACAATCACTTTTAATTAATCATATTTTGTATTAATAACCTAAATCTGTCAAAAGTAACTAAAGGTTCCAAATAGATCTAGTGCAAGAACAAGTGCAATATTTGCCTGTATATATAAGTGCTCCAAAACTATAATGCAGCATTAAGTGAAAATACTTACATAAAGTAAAAGTACCTCATTGTGTATGTAAGTACAGTACTTTTTACCATATGAACAACCATATTTACTAAATCTGTACCAGGTTAGGGATTACAAATAAGGGTTTAATTTTGGTAGCAAACACCACACAAATAATGATAACAACAATTGAAAACAATGTTAACCAAGCAAGTCATATTGTCAAGTCACATTGTGCAATCTCTTTCTAAATCAAATGATCTCTGTACAAGAGCTTATCTTTAAAAATGATTACATGACTGCAGTAAATAGGTTGGGCATGTTTTCTTTATGGTTGTCATTTACCTGCTTTACCAAATAGAAATGAAGGCAGATCTTTGACAAAGCATTGACTTGAACTCCTGACCTGTTTCATGGTGACAGCAGTCTGGACCCTGGAAGCCACAGCATCCACACGTGCACTCATCCTCAGGAAGTTAAGAGACTGGTGCTTCTGACGGATGGCGTTCTCTGCATGGATCTTAGCTGCCTCCATGTTACCCTTCTGGATAGCCTGAGAGACAAACAGAATAGGAGTACATAAACATACATAATACAAAATATCTGCACTGTAGCCAATGGTCTTTCATAGAAATAAGCACCTGCTTCACTTTAGCCTTTTCTGCCTTTTCCTCTTTGTCACATTTCTTGGAGTTGCGTTGTAGCTCCTTTGTGGCAATCTTGAGGTTGAACAGTTGTTCTGCATGGTTAGTCAAGGAATTGTTTATTTAAGTAGGCTAATGGTTATACATTGAATGATACATGCATTTTTAGGCTGGCTGAATATAAACTGTAAAAACATTGAGCTAACCCAAATCACTGCAGGCAAGTTACTTTGTTTTTCCTATACAAGTGAAAATGTAAGCTACTAGCAAACCCATCACTGTTTTCGTTCGTAGTTGAATGACTGGGCAGAAGTTACTAGCTGTTAGCTAGCAAACCAAGCTTACATTTGGCTAGCTAACACTCTCACTAGGTAACTGTTTCTACCGATATGCATGTCAGACTTCCCAGGAAAGGATACTCTCCATATTCGACATGATGAAGGTATTTTTCAGTGACAAAAACTCTGGCCTGCTTATGAACAGATACAGTCAGTGACTTGTTTCCCAGAGATGTTTGTTTTGGTTTTTTCAAACTGGTGTATATTCGCCACTTGAGCTAAGAGGATTCCCCTAAGCGTACTTCCGTTTTTGCTTAAAAGCACATAGACAGAGCGGCAGTAACGTTGTCGCATTGGTCTTGATGCCAACGTGAGTGTGTCTTATTTTATAATAAGAACATATTCTTACTTTGGTAGAGCTTTGATAACATATATAGGTAAGAAACAACTTTGTATACCGCCTTTAAGCTGTTACAAGTAGGCTTATGTCACGCATGCGCAACTAAGTGACGACCGACTAGGCGACTACTCAAGGTTTTTCCTTCATATTTTAACTGTTTTGCATTATAATAGCATGTCAGTTACCTTTAAATAAATTAAACGAATTCAACACATGTGTACGATGATGTGTGTGCTTAATATAGTCCTAATGGATAGAATCGCCAGAAATGTGTCTGGATTTAGTCGCTAGACAACGGTATGTGAACCATCTTGATCCAACTTTTATCTTTGAATAAAACTTCTGTCTACCCCTCACCGTCGTCACCATGGATGGTCGTCACACGGTCACGATTTTGCATGGCGTGCCCGCGCCTTCTACGTCACGACCGTTTGAGAGGTGGACGGGCGCGCGTGTCCAAAGCAGACAAGTTCCATCCAAGCTAAAAATAGTTTGTACCCGGTTTGTACCCGGTATCGGTAGGTTGTGGTGCACGTCTAGTGACGTCATTTTGTTCTTTTTTTGTGAGGGAGTAAATTGACCTTTTCTACAGCGCCTTGCTTTTTAATGACGTTTCTTTCACAATGTTTATGATGCGTTTACGAGAATGTGACATCTGTAACCTTGTTTTTTCGGTTGTACATGGAAAAACAATAATTTGGACTGGCCTGATGGAAAAAAATGAAAGAGGGCTTTATAGGCCAATTGTTGTTGAAAGAGACAGCAATAAAATGCAGCATGTGGAAAATAGGGATCATCGGTTGTCCAGAGAGAAAGGTTCCGGTGTGCCAGTCGAATGGGACTGGGGGATTAACGGCTGGGCCAGGGGGGGGGAGCAGCATGGATGACTCATACTGTATGTGCTGATGATAGTCGGACACAGCACTGGATACAATGTGAGCGTTAGGGACAGTGAACAAGTGAATGAAAAATGTTGTAGAAATAAATACAAAATACATTGTCTCATTAGAGTTTTCAGTTAGCTGCATAATAACATAGAAGTCCTTTATACTGTCCATTTTGACTCCCATTTATACAACAAACAAGGAGAAAGCAAATACAAATAGGCCTAATACTTTTTTGTCTATCCTGGCTAGGCCTTTAGCTAAAAGTTCCCTCTCTCTGTCTTGAATTTAGCCCGCTTTTTCAACTTTTATTTACAATAAGGATACACAAGGGGCTGTTAAAAACGTTTTCGAATTAGGCCTATATCATAGTCTATCTGCCCAAAACACACTACACCATCATTGTTGTAGCCTACTTCTGCACACACACACACACACACACACACACACACACACACACACACACACACACACACACACACACACACACACACACACACACACACACACACACACACACACACACACACACATACACATACACACACACGCGCGCACGCTCCCCAGTCATAACTGAATGACGGCATGTCGCTATGGAAACTGCGTTACGCTCCGGGCGGCCGGAGGAGAAAACAAGAGCGCGAGGACTCATTTCAGTCTTCACTTCAGCACCAAGCGAGCTCCTGGACAGCGCCCGGATGAACTCGCGCACACATAGTAGTCTCGTATGCCTTATAAGGGACACATCAGCACCGAGCCTCACCGGAGAGTGTAGGGACTTGAGAAGAGAAACAAAGCCAGTCACTGTCGGGACCTGAAGCTCGGAGGAGGTTCTACTATCAAACCGGGAGACAGTCGCTCCCTCAAATGCCACAGCAACAACAGGTAAGGACATTCAGTTCTGTAAAGTTTGGATATTTTACTTTTTTGGTGTCTGTCTGAAGCTTACAGACAGTTTATAATGTGCTTTAAATCCTGGAGCTCAGAAGTGTGCCCTTTATTCTGCCAGGCACTTAATTGCGGTTAATTGCCCTCAGGAGTGAGTAAATGCGTGATTAGGTGATTAGAGTGAAGACCAGCGGGGCAGAGTGCATTCAGCAGTGCTCGTTATCACTCCACTACATTTAAGGCATTTGTGGACTGTGAAGCAGAAGGTACAAAACTAAAGCCTGGTTATTTTACAGGGTAACAACTCTTATTATTTATATTTTTAGAAGTGTTGCCCATGTACAAGTTTAGCAGTAGGCTACTATTTAAAATATTCTAAACTCCAAATATGTAAGACTAAATGTGTGGTGTGCAGGCATTGTAAATGCATTTGGTGGGTGGACACAACAAAGACTGAGTTGTTTCCTTCTTTAACAGCATTACCCCAAGTTCATCATAACTGTTTAAGTAAATGGAAGAGACAAACATATAATATCACTATTAATAATAATAAAAAGTCAGGGACACATTGTCATTTTTCTATAGTTTTCTATAAACAGGACATCATTGTTTGTTTCCTGTATTTATTCTGCTGTAAAAAGTGTATACCAGAGACGGCAGCCTGAGTCTACAGAGCGTCTTTGTTTGTGTTGTTAGCTCAGTGAATACAAGACCCTCCGTATGTGCTGGGTTTTCAATGGCCATAGATTATGTGCGAGCTGAGCCGATACGCCTGGATGAGTCACTCAGGCTGCAAGTGTGCAGAAGAGTGCGAAAGGGGAGGGGGAGATACAGGGGCTAGCTTGAAAACAGTCCTGCAGTGCCTCTCTGCCTCCTCCAACCATTGTTTAATGACCAGTGTCAACACCTAGGACTATATTTATTGCCTCTGGATGTATGATTACGTTTTTTTTTGCAACTTGAAGTCCACCTTGTTAAAGTGTGGCACAGAGAGGAGAGAGCGTTGTGTTCTCAGACTCAACCTTTCTGTCTTCTGGAAAGCTATTAAGTGGTTTTACAGTGAGTTTGGAGGCTAAATGAAGTGCTGTTTTCCAGCTGAAATGTACGCAACACAGTTTAGAAGACTCATAAACACTTCCTAGATTGTTTGTGGTTATCACAGAGTATCACTCTCTGATGCCTGACAAACTGACCTGAAAGCATCCCATAACTGCCCATTAGTATCCCAATGTTTACCCTGCTGGTATTGACAAATCATAGTAATCAGCAGCATTCAGCCACAGCACTGACTGACATCTATTGATTAAAACAAACAAAAGATCATAATGGGCTGCCATGAACCACATTTGCACACTCAGAGGCACTCAAGACGTTTGCATGTGCCTCTACTGACTGACTTGAAGAATAGATAGTTTGTAGAGATTGATAGATGGAGTCTGGATGCAGAGGCTGTGTGCGTAACTGCCAGGAGGAGGATTACGAAGCCTAACAAACATAATTGACTGATATTAAATCCCACTTTGTTCCAATTTGTGTTACGATTTACAAAGGTATTATATAAAACAACCTTGTCTGCACTGCACTCAGAGGAGTGTGCGCAAGAGCCATTGTTTGTTATGTACACAAATAATGTGCTTCGCACACGGACACAGAAACAGATGTGTGTCTTTAATTAGTGACGTTGGTGTGATTAATGCAGTCTGCTGGGGATGACTCATTCAGCTTAACCCTTGCGCCTCTGGTGGAAACAATCAATAAACAAAGATTTACTCTGCCCTTACATGTCATTTTAATTATATACTTCATACGATCTTATCAAATAATGTATTATCTGGTATTTTTTCTTTCTTTCAAATTGAACTGATTCAGGTATTGTATGTAACTGTGATTGGGTAAAAATAAAGGAACTAATTGGTGTGATTCCAGTCAAACTCTTCCTCTTCCTTTGTTGCGATCTGGTTGAGCTGTGGATCAATATTCATGCAAATCACATGTACGTGGATCCCTCCATGTGTCAGCATGTCAACACAGCAGTTACATTAGCATTTTTGAAAAGCTGTCAGCCAAGCTGTGACTTGCAGACAGCAGACTGGCTGTGTGTGTGTGTGTGTGTGTGTGTGTGTGTGTGTGTGTGTGTGTGTGTGTGTGTGTGTGTGTGTGTGTGTGTGTGTGTGTGTGTGTGTGTGTGTGTGTGTGTGTGTGTGTGTGTGTGTGTGTGTGTGTGTGTGTGTGTGTGTGTGTGTGTGTGTGTGTGTGTGTGTGTGTGTGTGTGGTGTGTGTGTGTGTGTGTGTGTGTGTGTGTGTGTGTGTGTGTGTGTGTGTGTGTGTGTGTGTGTGTGTGTGTGTGTGTGTGTGTGTGTGTGTGTGTGTGTGTGTGTGTGTGTGTGGTGTGTGTGTGTGTGTGTGTGTGTGTGTGTGTGTGTGTGGTGTGTGTGTGTGTGTGTGTGTGTGTGTGTGTGTGTGTGTGTGTGTGTGTGTGTGTGTGTGTGTGTGTGTGTCAGAGTTAACTCAGAATTGGTTGGTGACTTGTAATAAAATCTTGTCATCCTCCTTCCTCTCCCTTCAGGGCAGCAGCATGTCTGAAACTAAATCCAGTCAGCGGTTCCAATGCCTGAACGCTGAGCAGGTAGAGGTCCTCCATCAGGTTCTGTCAGAGGTGGTTCCAATTCACGGCCGCGGGAACTTCCCCACGTTGGAGCTGCGTCCTAGAGACATCATCATGGCTGTGCGGGCCAGGCTGCAGAAGCAGGGAATCACAGTGAGAGATATTCGTCTGAACGGATCCACGGCTAGCCACGTCCTCTTCCGAGACAACGGAACGAGCTACAAGGACCTGGACGTCATCTTCGGAGTGGAGTTGCCCAGTCAGGAGGAGTTCCAGGTATGATTACTGCTTGTTAGGAAATGAAAGTAGATCAATGGAATATGAGTGGAGCCTTAACCAGCATTCATTTTGCTGAGCCATCCTTGAGCACGTCTTCTATCTCAGAGTGTTGCATTATAGATTTTTATAGTGCTACATTGATAATGATTTTTCTGTTATCCTTACCTTCATTTAACTGTAGAACATCTTATTTTGTATGGTGAATCAATGGCATTGGCCTTAATATCACATTCTTCAAATGTTAATTTCCCCAAATTCTAGTCATAACTTGTTCTGTCATGTTTTGACCTTTTCTTCTCTAAGGTGATCAAAGAGTCAGTACTGAGCTGTTTGCTGGACTGCCTACCTGCTGGGGTCAATCGAGAGCGGATAAGCAGCGCAACAATGAAGGAAGCCTACGTCCAGAAAATGGTCAAGGTCTTCAATGAGCACGACCGCTGGAGCCTCATCTCGCTCTCTAACAACAGCGGCAAAAACCTGGAGCTCAAATTTGTAAGCACGCTGAGGCGACAGTTTGAGTTTAGCGTTGACTCCTTTCAGATCATTCTGGATCGTCTTCTCGAGTCCTACATGCAGCAGGAGTTGCAGCAGAAAATGAAAACTGGTGAACTTAGGGAGCAGCCTGCAGAGAATCAGAAAAAAGACTCTTCGTCTCTGCTCAGAGAACCTACTGCCCCGAAAACAGAAAATGCCTCTGGTAAAGACTTATCCATCAAAGCAGAGGCTCAGATCAGCCAGACACAACAGAGAGATGAGGTACATGAAAAGCAGTCCAACACTGTACCCAATACACAACAAATTGAACAGTCCAACCAGACGAAAGACTCCAAAGTGGAGAAAGACAACAAAGGCATAAAACCTGTTGAGCTGAAAGAAGCGTCAGAACACAAAGAAACATTCAGCTTTTCTGACCAGACTTTACCAAAACATTTTTCAGAAGAAAAACAAACCTCTGAGAATTCTGACCAGACTTTACCAAAACTTTTGTCAGAAGAGAAACAAACCTCTGAGAATTCTGAACCACCAAATCAGATTGAACTCAGACACGAGCCAGAGCTCCCAGACATCACCAAATGTCTAACAACGGTAGAAATGTCAGAGCCAACCCAGCCCTGTGATGACCAACAACCAGCACATTCAAATCACCAGGAACTCTCTGTCCAGAAAGAACAATCCAACCACACAAAACCCCCTGATGAAGGAGAGGAACTCACAGAACAGATGGCGCACTCCGAGTCGCCAAAAAGCTCAAACAAAACCCAGGCAGAGTCTCTAAACCTGGCAGAAGAATGTCACAGTGCAGACTTCTCCGAGTGTTTCAGTGAGGATCAGAGTAACGATGAGAAAGATAAAACACAACATTTGACTGCTCCTGACTCCAGCACATCTTCACCTGCACAGATAGAGACACAGGTAGAAGAAGAGAGACAAGAAGAAACAGAGACAGTTGAGCAAGAAGAGAGAAAAGATGAGATGGGAATAAGAGAAATGACAGAAGAGATCACAGCCTCAGAAGCTACAAACATAGACAACACACAGGGTATTGATTGTTCCGGCTCCACCTCTTCTTCTATATCCCTTTCTCTTGACAACACAGAGCCTGCCGGTACACAAGATACAGCAGAGATTCACAGCACACTTGACACAGATAACTCAGAGAAAACACCTAACACACTTGAAGCTGAAAGCCCTCCAAATACTCAGGATGGTTTACCTGCACCGCCCAGCCTTGTTTCTGACCAAAGACCTCCTCTTCTCCCTCATGTAAGGCCTCAGAGAGACTTGCTCACATGGTGGTGCTTAAACACATCTCTCCCAAACCCCCTCGGAGGATGTGTAGGAAGGTATCCCCCAATAGTGACCCACATCAAGTCTCTGATAGCGAATCTGTCGTAGATCCAAACCCTTGCCCTAGCCCTGAACCTGAGATAGTATCCGACCCAAAGCCCAGTTCAGACCCTACAACTACCCCAACAACTGGTAACTCTACGAAAACAAACCCTGAGCATGAATCCACCCCTCCCAGTAATCTTACTTGTGACATAGGCCTTACTCCTGATCCAGCCCCTGATATAATCTCCACCTCTGCAGTGGATCCCATTTCTCATTTAGCTCAAGATCCCTCCTCCAGTCAGCTAATCACAGAGAGTTCATGTGAGACAAGTATTCAGAGCATAAAAGAGACCCCATCCACACATTGTGATGAGCAAAGCAACCCTTCAATGAGTGAAACTGTCCCTGCACCCAGACAATCAAAGCCACTTGGTTCAGTGGACACGTTAGTTTCACTCACCAATACATCCACCTCCAACACCCAGGAACCTGTACACACCTCAGAAGTTGAGTTCAGCGATGAAGATCAAATCAGAGTAGTACAAACCAAAAAGATGGACTTTAGTCAGCTGATTGACAGCCCACACGAGACCACACTTGTCACGCCTCCTGTTCCCTGTCCAACCCCTCCCCTCCTCAGTCTTTCCCCTCCCTGCTTCACACCCTCGCCCCCCAGCCTCAGCCCTCCCCGATGTCTGACCCCTCCCTCTAACTTCCTCTCATCTGCGCTACTGAATACTGTCAGCCTCGAGACCAGCTTTAGCTCTCCACCCCTGAGTTTCAGCCCTACCTCATCCTGTCTCAGCTCCCCTCCGTACCTCACCCCAACTATGCTTAGCCTCAGCCCTACTCCAGTCTGTCTTAGCCCGCCTTCCCCCTGCCTCAGCCCTCCCATCCTCTGCCTCACTCCACCGGTGGAGTCAGAGGACCTTGTACCTCAGGTATCTTCGCATATGGAGCCTTTGATACTGAAAACCGACAGCGAGGATGAGAATAAAGAGTCCTCCCCTCAGCCTGGAAATCCTATCCTACAGTTGCAGGATAAAAAGAAACACGATTATATTTCATCGTTGCCTGGGGTTTCAGAGCCAGTCTCTTTTCCAATCACAATTCCTGGCACCACCTCACATGTGCTTCCTCACTCTCAGTCTGAAGACTCCGGGGAATTTGCCCCTCCAGAAGCCGATGAGGCATCCAGCACTGTGCCTGAGAACAAAGAGGCCCCTAAGGTAAATGCAGTCATGCCTGAACAGTGCATCGCTCCTCAGGCAACTGCCTCAGTCCCTGCTGTCGAGGTCCTAGCAGAGAGCATGTACGGTGACTTTGAGGCAGCCATGGATCACCTGCGCTACCGCCTAATCGCTACTAGAAACCCTGAGGAGATCCGGGGTGGTGGCTTGCTCAAGTACAGCAACCTGTTGGTCAGGGACTACCGACCGGCCAGCGAGACTGAGATAAAAACACTGGAGCGCTACATGTGCTCACGCTTTTTCATCGATTTTCCTGACGTGCAGGAGCAGCAGAGGAAGATCCTGTCCTACTTGAAGAACCACTTTATCGGGGAGGAGAGGAGCAAGTACCAGTACCTGATGACGCTGCGGCGCGTGGTCGACGACAGCACAGTGTGCCTGATGGGACATGAGAGGCGTCAGACTCTGAATATGATCACAGTGCTGGCGCTGAAGGTTCTGGGAGAGCAGAACATTATCCCCAACACAGACCATGTGACATGCTTCTACCAGCCTGCCCCATACCTTGCTGATCACAATACCCCCTATTTAGCAGAACCTAGCTACTGCAGCTACTACATACCCCAAGCGGGATCAACTCTGCTTTACCAACCCTACCCCTTACACTTGCACACACAGACTGGACTAGTCTAAAACACACACACACACAAAAGTTATAATTACACAACTCACACAATCTTGCAAGAAGAAGGTGCTTTTCATGAGGAAAGAGCTGGAGAATGGAAAAATAATCCAGGGATAAACTGTTTGGTCTATAATAGACCTATGTGGGTGGGATTGAGTGGATTTTTACAGTAAACTCCCTGAGTACTCTGTAAGGTTCTAATATGATTAAATGTAATTATCTGGGCATCGTGGGAAAATAATAATTATTCCAATATTGCCGAAATTCCAGAAAATGCTTTATGCACTGCATGAGTCTTAGCCCTTTGGTCTCCCTGGGAAACCAACTGTGCTGTTGACATTCAAAAACATTCACAGGCACACACACATATACACAAAACTCACACTTCCAGGTTCTTGAATTCTTGTCACTCTTTTCATGTTCTTACTGTGTTGTTCTTAATGGGTTTGTTCAGAATGTGGACCTTTCCTGTGGTTGATATTGTGCATGGATAAATTAGGACTGTTCTCTCACTGCCAAATACTGTTACTACTATGCTTCTTAAACAGTTTCATGTAACTTTGTTAATCCTTTACTGAAGGGGTGTACTCTGAAAAAAATACTTAAAGGGACAGGTCTACCAGTGTGTACAGTACTTTAATCAGAACACACAAACATGCATGCACCACACATACACACATATGTGCACACCAACTGGCAGGCTGTTTACTGTATTAACACAGTTAATGACGATGCATGAGTAGCTTAATATATACAGTAGAGTAGACCACATCCTGAAGTCAAAGCGAAGACTTTTAATTTAATAAAAATGTATCTATTTTTGCAAAACTTTCCAAGATAATACTCAGTGGTAAACAGACTGGTTAATTCCTACAGAAAAATGCCAACAACAATGCCTTTGCAATAGACTGTACAGTGTATTGATTACAGTATATCGTGTGCAGATACACTGCATTGTTTTCAGGTAAAATGTATTAAGATGTAGTGCTTGATTCCTTTGACTTGTGAAGTCCTTTCTGTAATCATGTGAAGTACTGTACCATCTAGTGTTGATTTATTTAATGCTAATGTTTACCCTATGGAGGTGGTCAGGTTATAACCATCTTTGGGTCACCTCTAAACATGGCCAATTGAGATCGGTCTAAACTGAAGGAGTGCATTTTAAACCTCTGTGACTCCTATCAGCATAAATCAGCATCCTCTAATCCACAGTCAGAATCAACATGAAACAAGTTTAAATCCACCTCAAACCTTTTGAATCCAAGTTCAAAGCCAAACAGCAACTATGACCAAAGATGGTTTGGTAGGGAAATGAAGTGCCTAAATGTGAGACATCATTGGCATGTCTTTATCTCACTGCACTGGGGGTGTTAATGGGGTGGGCCTGGGGCTGGGTTGGGTATGTGTTCAGTTGTTGACCCCTGTTATTGCTGCCCATTTTGATGTCTTCTTTAATGTGGTCCTTTGTTGTCATTTCTTCATGTACATTTTGATAAAATAAAGGCGTAACTCAACAAACCTTCAGATATGTAATTATTGCTACAAATTATTTTAAAGGTAACATGTCGAAATGTCATGAAATCCTAATAAATAATAACTGCAGTGGCCACTAGGTTTCGGCAGTCATTACCCTGTTCCTTGCACATGTCTCTACACTCCATATTCCAAGCAGCCTTTCTAGGCATTGGCCAAAGCATGACAAAACATTAAAATGTTATATCATTTTCAACATGATGTTACTAATGTTTCTATATTTTATTTTGATCATTGGCTTCATGATAATAATAAAAAAAACTAGCTAACCATTTGCATACCTTTCTTAGCTATTGTTTAGAAGCAAACAACATAAGTCTCTAAATAACAGCTAGCTGGCTAATCTTAGCTTGGATTAGGTTATAGTAGCAATCATTATCAAAAGTGATATGCCTACGTCATACATCATAAGCCTAGACCCCTGCTTATCAATTATTGTTAGCTAAAATCCATTCAATGGGCAAAAACACATAATTTGTGACTATTTTGCTAGCGATAACGTTAGCCAGCAACCAAGCTAAGGTTAGCAAACTAGCTCTCACTTAGCTACACTGCATACATCTGGCATTGGTTGTGTCAAAGGTTACAAAGTAATGTACTCAAGGCAAACGGGCAAATGTACCTGCCAGATTAACCTATAAATGGGAGTGTGGATTAATTAGCAGAAATTATCCGCTCAAAATTATTTCGCCACGCCAGCTACTCACTGTGAGTTTAAGAGAGGCAGGGCAGTCAGACGTGTACATAAATGTCACATCCTTTGGAGTCCTGTTTAAGATAATTGAAGTTTATAAACTGCGTTAAAATCACACATTGCCAAAACCAAGTAATTGATGTGTACATTTTAACTAACAGTTCCTCTGAATTGATTGTTTCACATCTTTGTGCTCCGTTCTCATACACCAAGCTACTTTCATTTTCTCCCCAAACAACATGTTGTACAGCTGACGTATCCTCCTTATGATTGCTCTGCAATGATCCACTTTAGCGTGACCGTCAAATCACAATGGTGCCCAGGAGGGCGACCCAAAGCTGTGAAATTCTGTCTGTAGGAGTCCTATTATCACAAATCACCTGTCCTTCAGATGCGTTTGGATCGGAATGACGCACGTTCTACACAACACAGCAGCCTCCTCATCATGTAATGTATGTTCGATAAATACGGTCTGTGAGGTGTGAGACTAAAGGGGAAAAGGGGGATGAGAGGTCTAAACGTGTGTGTGTGTGTGTGTGTGTGTGTGTGTGTGTGTGTGTGTGTGTGTGTGTGTGTGTGTGTGTGTGTGTGTGTGTGTGTGTGTGTGTGTGTGCTACAGAAGGGAATATGTGCAGAGGTGGCATCAGGTGGTCCCCTTCTCCACTGAGTAATTGAAGAGATCTACAGGATAATGAAATAATAGGACTCCCTCCTTACTCCCACATTGCCTGCTCCCAATTCACAACAACGATAATTCATAGGCACAAGAGAAGATGTGGGTGTCTTTTTTCATCTGGTAGGGGAGGACTTGTGTGATAGCAGGTAGTGGCCCCGTCATCCTCCATCATCTATTTACACACACTATGGGCTTGCATGCGCCAGGTTGGAAGCATGTGGCTCACTGGGAGAGAAAGAGATGTGTGAACTAATAGGTTCTGTATCAGCGTCTCACAGACCTCAGAGCTACTCTTGTCCACTCGGGGTTTCCATAGAGACAGAGACAGGCAGCACGGTGGGCGCAAATAGCATGACGGAAGACAGGGAAGACCCACACACCAAATGAGGGGGTGAGAGATTAAAAAACAAGCAAAGAAAAAAGAGGTGGGCGAAGTAAAAAGAAAGATGTTGGAGGGAGAGAGATGGATGGATAAGAAAATGTAGAGAGGAGAAGAAAAAGGATAGAGTGAGAGGAGGGCGAGGTTATAGATAATGCAAGCCGAGAGGGGCAGGGGAGTTTATGG